TATTTGAAAAAAATTTACTTTCCATTCTTTATTAAAACTAAATTTTCATTTTAATGCTTTTATAAGATGAAAAATGAGTGAGAGCACTAATTAGTGCTATCACTAATGATGTGGCAGTGGGCCCCACCAGGAATGATTTGATGTTTTGACCTTGGTGTTGTATTTTTTTTCTTTTTTTATTGAGTGCCATGTCATTAGTAATCTTTTTAGAGCTCCAAAATTAGTGGGCTCTATCATTGTTGTTATAAGATTATGCTTTTTAAGAAGAATCACCGTCATTTCTCGAAAAGTGTATCCACTTTTTTAATGAGTATTTTGAGTAAATTATTCCCATTAATTTAACATAATTATATTGATATCTTTTGATAAACACAAAATATTATTGAAATTAAATAATTTCTTATTTGTCTATTTCAATTTTTTTATACACATGTCATTAAAATATGAGATTATAATTACTTGATTAATTTTTTTTTAAATAAATAATTTATATATACAAGTAAACAAAATAAATTATTTAAATTATCAAAATGAAATATGAATTTCACAATGTTAAACAACACCGCACCTCCAATAATTGCACGGAAGTTGGTCCCTTTTTTTTGATCAGCGAAGTTGGTCCCTTTTTCAAAATAACCTCATTAGAAAAGATATTTGACTGTTTTTTGAATAATATTTCACGCCATTTATCCCAGGATATTTGCCATGTTATTTTCGGAGGAAAAGTTGCTTGAGGTACAACAATTACTGTTATATTTAAATTGTCTAAAGTGTTTTTTGATAATTTAAAATGTTCATGTTGTAGAATTTGTCGAGTATATCATCCATATAAAAAATTAAATTGATTAGATATCTATAGCCCTATAACCAAAGCATATTTGTTTCTATAAAAATTAACGGTTAACATAACTTTCATAAATTTTTAAAAACAATTAGGACCTAATCATGAGATTATGAATATCCGATTAATTTAATTTTTTACATGAATAATATTCATTTGGTTTGGTTTTGAGAAACAAATTTTGAAAAAATTTCTAAAATTTTGTTTGGTTTAGGGTTGGTTTGGGAATTGGGTTGGCTTTTTGATTTTTTTGGTTATTTTAGCCTGGGCTAAAAAGGACTTTTTGGCTTTTTTGATTTTTTTTGTGAAAGAAGAGTGTAATGATTATGGGTTGAATGTGATGTTTTGTTTGTTGTGGCTAAAATAACCTATTTTGTCTTTTGTGGCTAAAATAGCCAAAAAAAACCCACAAAATCCCTTCACAAACGGTTTGGATTTTTTTTTTCTAAAATCACTTTCTATCTCATACACATCAACCAATCATTTTTTTTCTACTCTCTCTCTTTTTCAATCACTTTTGCTCTCATACACATCTATATAATTACAACAAAATATCAAATCATCCCAAACTTCTATACTCCGAAACTATTTTCAAAATATACAACCAAACAACCAAAAAAAATTCTAAAATCTTTCTCCAAATTTTTTTTTAAAAATTTATCTCCCAAAACCAAACCAAACAAGGCCCATTGTGTCTTATTATTTTAACCAATAAAAATAACACAGTTAAACTTGTTCAAACAACACCAAAAATTGTCTAAAGTGTTTTTTGATAATTTAAAATGTTCATGTTGTAGAATTTGTCGAGTATATCATCCATATAAAAAATTAAATTGATTAGATATCTATAGCCCTATAACCAAAGCATATTTGTTTCTATAAAAATTAACGGTTAACATAACTTTCATAAATTTTTAAAAACAATTAGGACCTAATCATGAGATTATGAATATCCGATTAATTTAATTTTTTACATGAATAATATTCATTTGGTATGGTTTTGAGAAACAAATTTTGAAAAAATTTCTAAAATTTTGTTTGGTTTAGGGTTGGTTTGGGAACTGGGTTGGCTTTTTGGTTTTTTTGGTTATTTTAGCCTGGGCTAAAAAGGGCTTTTTGGCTTTTTTGATTTTTTTTGTGAGAGAAGAGTGTAATGATTATGGGTTAAATGTGATGTTTTGTTTGTTGTGGCTAAAATAGCCTATTTTGTCTTTTGTGGCTAAAATAGCCAAAAAAAACCCACAAAATCCCTTCACAAACGGTTTGAAATTTTTTTTTCTAAAATCACTTTCTATCTCATACACATCAACCAATCACTTTTTTTCTATTCTCTCTTTTTCAATCACTTTTGCTCTCATACACATCTATATAATTACAACAAAATATCAAATCATCCCAAATTTCTATACTCCGAAACTATTTTCAAAATATACAACCAAACAACCAAAAAAAATTCTAAAATCTTTCTCCAATTTTTTTTTTAAAATTTATCTTCCAAAACCAAACCAAACCAAACAAGGCCCATTGTGTCTTATTATTTTAACCAATAAAAATGACACAGTTAAACTTGTTCAAACAACACCAAATAATTTTCCTCTAAGTATTTGAGATCTTTCACTCTTACTTTTTTTTTTCTCATCAAATTTGTTCAACTATTTAGATCAAAAGCTTAATTTGATATAGTTCACTCATCAAAATTTTTAAAAAACATCTAACATATCTTAGAGAACTCTTTTAATCAATTCAGGTGGAAAAAAAAATCTTCAATAATATTTTTTGATTAACAAATTTAAGTGAAACAATAAATAACAAAAAAATTAATAAAAGATTTGATTCAAAATTTGATTTGATATAGATTTGATACATTAATTGAATTTTATTTTTACTAAATTTTTGATGGGAGAATTACCTCTCAGTGAAATAGAACTTTTTTTACACAAACATAAAGGGATACCCATCACAGAATAATTTATACTCCACATTTTTTTTATATTTTTTTTTTCTTTATTCGTAATTTTATTTTTGATTAGTGAACATTACGACATTAAAAGTTGGACTCTCACATGTGCGTGGTAGGTATTTTAATTTGTACTAAATTCTTGATGGGAGAATTACCTTACAGTGAAATGGAGTATGTGTTTGGATAGATTTTTAAATTATAATTTCACCATCACATTTTAATATCATGTTTGAATACATCTTTAAATTATATTTTCACAACAAAAGAAAATTTTACAGAAAACTTTGTGATTGGCGGGGATTTTTTTTTAAAAAAAATTTGGCTTGACCGGTCGTCCAGCTGGTTAATTGGAACATGGCAATTTTTTTTTTTAAACAATTGGCACTTGTTTTTTTATTTTATATTTTTAGTAAAATAATATTTTTAAAATTTTTTATGGGCTTTTAATAGATTTTTGAATTGTGGGTTTGGTTATAAGTTGTAAGTTTTTGTATCAGATATCATGTCGCATCAAAAAAATTTCACTCAATTCAAGACTCATTCACTAAATAAATTTTTCACATTCAAATCATAATTTCAAAACTCACAAACTCAAAGTACAATTGTATTCTCAAATCATATTTAAAAAACTCTACCAAATGCTATCAGAATTTTTTTTTACACAAACATAGAGGGATATCCTATCACAGAATAATTTATACTCTACATATTTTTTATAATTTTTTTCTCTGTTTATAATTTCATTTTTGATTAGTGAACATTTTGATGTTAAAAAGTTGGATAGCGTTTGGTTCACTTTTTAAAATTTAACGAGTGAAAATTCAGTATTATTAGAGTATGAATACGTGGTACTCCATAAAATTTTGATTGATAGAGAGAGGTACGGACCCACGATTTATGTTGCGAATGGAGGAACAACATAGAGGCTAAGTAATTGGTAATTGACTTGGAGTATAGCCACGAGGTATTCCGAAATTATTAAATAATTTTCCAAATTTAACTCTATTTTGAATCATGATTTGGATGAAATATATTAACCAAACATATTTGTAAAATACAATTCAAAATTATCTTCAAAACTCCTCTATATTCTTTTATTTATTTATTTATTATTATTAATCAATCAACTAATCACTTTTCTCTCTCATCTCTCTTATCACATTCTCTCACATTCTATATCAATCAATTAAAAAAATACAAATTATCTTAAAATTATTTTCAAAACTCATAATTAAATAAATTTTTTCTTTTTAAATCATTATTCAAAAACTCAAAATTTAAAATACAATTTCACATTTCAATCATAATTTTAAAATTAAACCAACAGAGCCATGAACTCTCTCACATGTGCGTGTTTGGTATTTTAACATGATGACTTTCAATCAATCACGCGCTCTACTGGTACACAACGTCGTACTGTACACCCGAACGTATTCAATCAGTCCCCACTTTTTGGCAGATAACCCCCAAAAGAACAAGAGTCCAACGTTGTCTCTCCTTTCCTCACTCCCCGACATCGGCGGCATCGCCCGACCGTCCGATCCTCCGAATTTACTGCCAAACAAAATTCAACTAACGTTTTAACGGCCACCGACCGACACTTATCACATGCTAATTTATGATATTATTATTATTTAATTGTTTGGTAATTAAGGAAACAATTAGATAAAGTAATTTTTTTTATCAATTAAAAAGAAAAAAAAGTTATTCAGCAGTTACTAGTGGTTGTAATTATTATATAAAAATATTACTCCTTCCATCTCACAATAATAATTTATTTTAAAATTCTAATTTTTAATAGAATATGTAACTAGTACTTTAAAGTCAATTTAAAATATATTAATTTATTATATTACTTTTTTATTTTTATTATTAAATATATTTATAATTATTTTAAAAAAATAATTTTAGAATTCTCTATCACAAGATTTGAATAGAGAAGTTGAATGAGAAAAAAAAAAAAATTTATAAATTTAAATAAAAATTTATATGCCTTATCATTATTTATCACAGATGATTCCTAACACTGAAAGGGCATTAATTTATTTAACATTTCACATCACAAATAATATTTTAATTTTTCATAAATTTGACTTTAAATTATGTACTATATTTATATATTTATCTATTCCTAATTATTATCACAAAGTGGTATATACCCATTGATTATTGTTTACCCAAGGTATACACGAGATGGACATATATGGTGGAGACATTTGAATCCAACAAAAAATATATATATCTCTCTCTCTCTCTCTCTCTCTCTCTCTCAAGACTTCAGGCATTCATTCTCTGCTAGTCATCATTTATAGCAGAGTGTGGAGTCTGCGAATTGATTAAAACCCTTTTAGCTTCGGATCGATCTATTACGAGCTCTCACTATCAGGTAATGAATCGATTCAGTTGATTTCCACTTTTTGGTTCAATCATTATCTTCTTCGTTTCTAGTTTTACTTATTGTTCTGCTCAAATCACTATTAGTTGATGATCGATGATTCACTTCAGTTCATCTCTATTTGATTTTTTCTTTCTTTGCTTTTAAGATCTGCATATATACATACAATTTAATCTGTCTATTTATGAATTATATGATGTATAATATGTTTTTGATTTCGTTATGAACAAAGCAATCACTTGATTTTCTTTTTGGTTGTCAAGTTTTACTTGTGATTTTTTATTTTTCTGTATTTTACTTGAATTTTTGAAATCTGGAGAATTTCACATCGAGAACGATAGATTTGATGGAGATGCAAATATGTTTCAAATTGAATTTTGGGTTTAGAGGCGGCGAGTATGATCTTCTCTTTGTTTCTTGAGTCAAATCAATCGTGATATGATTTCATGTTGTGCCTTTGGTTCAATCACTCTCATCATCTAAAGTTGTTTTGGCCTTAAAAGTTGGGGTAACCATGAAAGTTTTGAAATATGAGTGCCTTTACAATGATTTGGGACAAATTTGTCGCATTTTATTGTTAAAAAGTTTGGGTTTAATTTATATATTTTGTTTAATAAACATTGGTTGTTCCATTAATGGAGGGTGTTTAGAGGGGTGGAATACATATAGATCTAGGCCATTGTTTATATTGTGAAACAATTTTGAAAATAATTTTCTAGTAAAGTTCACAAAATTTGAAAATTTGTTTGGTGGCATGTTTTGAAAATAGTTTTGGAGTTTTGAATGATTTAATTTTTTATTTATTTTTAGTTCAATAGATGGGTGTGAGAGAAAAAGTGATTGATTAATGTGTAGGAGGTAAGAAAAGGAGAGACGAGAGAGAAAAAATGATTTATTGATGTATAATAGAGAGAAGTGATTTTGGAATTTTTTTTCCAAAAATTTTCAACCAAACAAATTTTTGAAATTTTTTCTCAAAAAATGTCCCAAGAGAGAAACCAAACAAGGCCCTAACCTTTGACATTATTTGCACAAAGTGGTTGCCCTCAAACTCGAATTTTCTTTCTCGTGTTTGAAGCATGAGCTTTTAAGCAAGGACCCTTTGTTTTACTTAGTAAACTTGTTATCGGGGTGAGTAATTAGTGATTTGTGCCCCCAATGCCCTTTTGTAGTGTTAAATAACCAGACAAAACTTGGAAACACTGATTTTGGTGGCACTTTCATGGTTCATTAGTTTATTGATGACTCTATGTAGCAGTTGGCCTTTTTTTGAAGATTGAAGGCGGAGGGGCACAATCATATTGCCATAGAGAAAGTTCATATCCATAATCTCATTTTTGGACTTGGTTGCTATTCAGTTTGTTGTTCTAATCTTTGGAATAAGAAGTGTCCAAAACTCATTTAAGCTTTTTATTCCAGTTTTGTGCAATTCCTTTATGCTGATGCTGATTATGGGATTGCAAGGCACCAATTCTAAACTATTTTTGGTTGAATTGTTTGGACGCAATTCTTTTTGACTAACCTTTTTTTGTTGTGAAAAATATGGAAAGGTTTGATTGTAAAAACCTTCAACATGATGTCAGGCCTTCATCATCAAAATTGATGTTTTACACCTTGCAGTACCTGACTCATGTGTTGGGTAGGATTGAGTGATATCTTTACATGACACCAGTATTCTATTCTTTATCACCCCTCCCTAACCCACTCTGTTCCTCCCAATCCTGGAGTACGTACACAAAATTCTCTTATAATTTCAAGCCTCGTGTCTATTGACTGACTAGACATTAGCTAGAATCATGAAAGCATATTTATATGGCTAGCTTAGTGGAACTACATACATCATAGAAACAACAAAAGATATAAAAGAGAAAGAAAGGGAAGTTTTCTGCACATAATGAACTACATAATTGTTTCTAGCATGTAGAGTTATTATTTTCTCCCTCTTTCCTGTAACCACAAAAATCTCTTATGATTGCAAGCTAATTCTTTGGCTAAGTGAGAGCATCTGTAGAAGTTTGTAGACAATTTTTAATTAGTTCTTCTGTCGGTTGAGATAAAGTTGATCTAGGTTTGTGGATTTATTGTATGTTAGTGTATCTTACGGTCTTACCCCTTGTATTGAATTGGTTTTCTCGGTTCAAGTTCAACAATGATCTATGTTTTTTTTCAGCATTCTCTGATAACTACAATGCACCGTAAACCACTGTATTTACTCCAACAATGTTTGTTTCATATTCAGTTTTATCTTATCAACCATTAATTATACATGGCAAGTAATTTTTCTTAAACTTCTTTCACATTACAGTGAGCTTTCAGGTTGCTATCCCTGGCATATTATGGGCTCTAAGCATAACTCATCAGGCAACAGAGCTCGAGGTCCGGTGTCTATATTGATTGTTCTTGGTCTGTGCTGTTTCTTTTATGTACTGGGAGCATGGCAGAGAAGTGGTGCTACAAAGGGATTTATAACCGGTATTGGAAGGGGAGACAAGATAGCCGAACAAATAACCAAGCAAACAGATTGTGATGTCTTTCCCACACTGAACTTTGAAACTCATCACAATGATGTTCCGATAATTGACTCTGTGGAGCCAAAATCCAAAGTGTTTAAGCCATGTGATTTACAATACACTGATTATACTCCTTGCCAGGAACAGGACCGGGCTATGAGCTTCCCAAGGGAAAATATGATATACAGAGAAAGGCATTGTCCACCAAAAGAGGAAAAGTTGCATTGTCTTATTCCAGCACCCAGAGGATATGTGACTCCATTTTCCTGGCCAAAAAGCCGAGACTATGTCTATTATGCCAATGTTCCTTATAAAAGCTTGACTGTTGAGAAGGCTGTCCAGAACTGGGTAGAGTTCCAGGGTAATGTGTTCAAATTTCCAGGTGGAGGAACAATGTTCCCTCAAGGCGCAGATGCATATATTGATGAACTTGCATCAGTGATTCCAATTGCAGATGGCTCTATCAGAACAGCATTGGATACGGGTTGTGGAGTATGTTGTTTCCTTTGCTTATTCTTATCCTTTTCTTCATCGAGTATCATTATTTGCATTCGATCCATCATTGTCACAGGCAGACTCTTGAACCCCTGGAGTCACACAACTCGCCTGGGAGAAGCCCACTTAAGCAGGGATCATCCTGGGCTGTCGCCTAGGCAGCCTCTTTGGTCTAGGCCTTCAACTACCCCCTACCTCTTTAAGTAATAATGGGACTTTCTATTAACTGACTAAGTCTAAATGGACTTAGCCTTTCAATAGTTGTGGTGGGTTCTCATGTACAAAACTGAACGTAATATTATATCAATATATTTTAAAATTTCTAAAATTGACATTGTTTCTTCATTGATTATGGATTAAACGTTTATTCATTTAATAATTTATGTTGCTTGTTTTTTTTCCCCTTTCATTGTTCAATATGTATTTTTTACGGTTCATGGTAAAAGTTTTGGACTATATTCTTTTTCTCAATTGCATCTCTGCAGTTACTACAAATGTTGTAATTGTTTGTTTTGTTGTGGGTAGTCCTGCATAGATAGTGTGCAATTACTGCAAACGTTGTAACTCTTTGTTTTGTTTTGGGTAGTCCGGTATAAATAGTGCACAATTATGGGGTAGTTGTAATTTCTTTATACTTGCCTTTTGTTTTTACTGCCAGTGTGTGGCTTCTTATTAGACCTCAATTATTACATAGGTTGCAAGCTGGGGTGCTTATTTGCTGAAGAGAAATGTGTTGGCTATGTCATTTGCACCAAAAGACAATCATGAAGCACAAGTCCAATTTGCATTGGAGCGGGGTGTGCCTGCTGTTATTGGTGTTCTTGGAACAATCCGTCTTCCGTACCCATCTAATGCATTTGATATGGCTCAATGTTCTCGGTGTTTAATACCATGGACATCAAATGGTACGTTCTACAAATAGCAAGTGCCAAAGTTGTCAAGTCATTTAAATTTGTTTACATGGTCAAAACGTATTATTTTGTTGGTTAGGGCACTTCATATTTACATAAAAAGATTAGGGGAAAGGTATGATGATCATAACTTCTTTTTTTTTGGGAACAACATGACGATCATAATACTTGGAAAAATTATATACACAACATTAATCAGTAATCGTAAATAAAAGGAATTAATTGATGATTATTCTCCTGACAATTTTAAGACCAAAGACATAGACTTCATGTCCAACATATGGGGTCCAGGGTTTACATCACAGATTAAACATCAAACTAATTGATGATCATTCTCTTGAATCACTTGAGCGAATACACTCTATATCTTACACCGGAGTTCATACACATGATCATATCATGTATCATGTACTATTGATACTATGGCTCACTTGGAAGCAATTAATTCCAGTCCATCACAAGCAACTATTGGATGTGGTGATGAATCTGCTTGTTTATTTTTGTCTTGTAATTATTTAAATTTATAAATTGTCTACCTGAAAAAATTAGGATACGACAACTTTACATCTGTTTATTAAGGCAAGAAATTTGCTTCTGAGATTGTCTGAATAAATTTTATTTTACATATTTTTGAAGGTGGGGTTAAAGGTTGCAAAATTTCTCTAGAGTTAGCTGTGAACATGATGACAGGATTCAACAGAGAAAGGACAGAGATTGATATTTTCCTTTTTGACTGAATTTTCTAAATTTCATTTTGACTCCAAGCTGTTTAGTTCTGAAATTTATTGACAATATAATCTCGAATCAACTTTGTGTATTTATCTGAAATTGATGAACTTTACCCACTATCTGTAATATGCAGAGGGGATGTACCTAATGGAAATTGATCGAGTACTTAGACCTGGTGGATACTGGATCTTATCTGGCCCTCCTATTAATTGGAAGACCTACTACAAGACATGGAAACGGTCTAAGGAAGATGTCAAGGCAGAGCAAAGCAAGATTGAAGAGCTGGCTGAACTTCTTTGCTGGGAGAAAAAGTATGAGAAAGGAGATATTGCCATCTGGAGGAAAAAAGTGAATGCCAAATCCTGCCAAAGTCAGTCTGCCAATATTTGTAAATCGAAGGACGCTGATGATGTCTGGTGAGTCACAGCAGATCACAATTTTGTTGAAGGCACTTTTTTTATGCTTTATTCCTGTGATATGGGTCCTTTGATAAAGGTACAGTAAGTTGCTTGAAGAACATCAGAGGTCTATTGTTCATCATGTTTTCTTGTTATTGCAATTTCATTTAAGACAACTTCATGTATTAACTTGATTCTACTTCTAAGCTTCAGCTTCGACAATCTGTATGATAAATAGATTTTACACCACTAGGAGCACGTCTTAGTGCCAACATAATGAAGTTGCACTGCATCCTGGCTCAAAAGATCATCCAATAGATATCGTTCACAAATGTTACTTGATATATGGTGAATTCAGAATCCTAAAGTATTCACAAGAGAGTCCTCCCTCATCACGGCCTACATCATGGAATACTGTCAGATTTTCAGTACATCATCTGACGGAAACTTTCCTTTCTAATATCTAATTCCATTTAATAGTCCATTTTGTCTCTTTTCATTGTTCACGATTCCTTATTTTGAATCTGATCTAAGCGACTAGAGCGACTAACAAGTGAAATTTTTGTGCTTTCGTTTCGTTCTTTTTCCTTTGTATGACATCTTGTCCTCTTTCATTTTTCTTTTTTAATAAAATTTTGTTGATGCTCAAAAAAAAGGCTAATATGTGAAATTCCAAAAACTTATTGGAGATAATAAAAAGGTCTTCAGATATTAATTTCTCTGTTCATTTAGTTATTAACAGCAAATACTGGTAATTTATTAGCTTTTCTCACCTATATCAGTTAAATACTGGTAGGCTTGTTTTAGAAGCAATTGGGTTTTAACAAATTTCTGATGTGTGAATCATGATACATGTCATTCCAAGATTGTTGTTATGCCTCCTGACAACAATAGATGGAACTTCTTACAACATTATGAATTCTTTGATTAGTAATCCTCAATGTAAGTAACTTAAGTTTATGATTCACTCAAGTTGTTCAGTAAACATCTGTGTCCTCATTGTTTCTTATTTTCTCTTTCATTTTTTTTAAAATTGTAATATTTATTTATTTATATTATTTGCATTATAAATTCTAGTTCTGTGTGAATTGTAGGAACAAGCAAATGGAGGCATGCATAACTCCCTTCCCTGAGGTTACCAGTGCAAATGAAGTAGCAGGAGGAGAATTGAAGAAGTTTCCAGCTAGGCTATTTGCGGTCCCTCCTCGAATAGCTAAGGGATCTGTTCCAGGGGTCACAGTTGAAACTTACGACGAAGACAATAAAAATTGGAAAAAGCACGTAAATGCTTATAAAAGGATCAATAGTTTAATAGGCACTACAAGATATAGGAACATAATGGATATGAATGCAGGCCTTGGAGGTTTCGCAGCAGCACTAGAATCACCAAAATCATGGGTTATGAATGTTGTGCCTACCATTGCTCAGAATACTCTAGGTGTTATTTATGAGAGGGGTCTAATTGGCATATATCATGACTGGTATGTCCCATCAAATTCTCATGTTATCCTTATCAGAAACTCACATAAATTACTTTTCGGACTGTCTTGAAATTTTGGTAACGTTTGATTTGTTTGCAATATTGCTATGGATGGGTTAATTTGTGGATGTGTTCTGAATTAAACTTCAACCCAGTCTTGAGGATTAGGCAGCTTTTTGAGATTTCATTGATGAGGACAAATAATCAAAACCTTAAAAAAGAGTAAAAATCCCCTATCATGTTACTATTTCTCGCTCTCTCTAGTAATTATAAAGAATGATGAAAATGAAATTTTGATTTCATGGAAATCCAGTAAAATTTATTTTGTTTTATTCTTTCAGGTGTGAAGGTTTCTCTACTTATCCAAGGAGTTACGATCTCATTCATGCTAATGGTGTATTCAGCTTGTATGAGAACAAGTAGGCCTCTTCATCCTCTGATTGAATGACATCAATTAGCATATTAGGTTTTGCTTCTTTTAAGTTTGCTAATAGCTTTACAATAGCCTAATTTATCACCTAGTACGGTTTCTGAAATTTCTGGTGCCCCCGATTTTTTACATATTCTTGTGTGTCCTTGTTTGGTTGAGTTTTCTGATTTTTTTTTTTTTGTTGAAAAATTAGAAACTAGTTCAACAAAATTAAAGATCAAAAAATATATTTTGGAATTTTCAAAAATTGTTTCTGCCCCAAAAAAGATAAAAATATATGAAAATAATGGGTACTTTTTTTTTTTCCTTTCATTTTTTCACCAATTTTATTTTTGAAATTTTTTCACAAAGCAGGTTTGAAAACTCGACCAAACAAAAGTCCCCTTGGAAAAGCAGTCTATACTGTGAGAACTAGTTCACAGTCTTTATAAAAATTTTGTCTTAGAAACATAAAGTAACAAAATTGAAAACATTGCAAAATGAATATTTGAAAACTAATCCTATCTAAAAATAATTAATCTCAATTTTTTAGCGGCAAAGTGTATTGTTCACATTCCTGAAGTTTGTGCTTAGATTTAAATCTCTTTATCAAATTTTGGTCCACTATTCTTAGAAAAGTCCAATGTAAAATTGAAAACATTGCAAAGTGAATATTTGAAAACAAATCTAAATTTCCTGTATTTAGTTTCAGCATTACAAATCATTCTTTTCTTTGGATTAATCCCGTTTATCTGGATCCCTGGTTCGGACTAATTATTATTATTTTTATATAAAAAATAGTATGATGAAAAATTAATTGATTTACCAGCATTAAAGTTTCACACTACTTTTAAGGTGTGATCAATGATGAGTCTCATATGTATAAACAGGTGTAAACTTGAAGACGTCCTTTTGGAGATGGATCGTATTTTGCGGCCTGAAGGGGCAGTCATATTCCGCGATAAAGTTGATGTCCTCAACAAGGTGAAGAAAATTGTTGGTGGCATGAGATGGGAAGCCAAAATGATGGACCATGAGGACGGCCCTTTGGTGCCTGAAAAGATACTTGTGGCCGTCAAACAATATTGGGTTGGCAGTGCAGGAAACAGCACATCTAATGATCAGTGAACCGTGGCGGTTTTCGGGTATGGAAGTGTACGAATGATTTATGACAAAATGGTGAAATTGAAGTGCTTTGTGGTGGAGGGGGTTCAAAGAGTCCTGTCCTCGGAGATGGCATAGGTAAGTTAATTTCATATTAAAGTTAATTTATATATGTTATTGTTGATTTAGAGCATATTTATGTAAAATTTGAAATTCTCGATAGTGATTTTGGATGCGTGATTTTTGAGGGAAGTGAAGAAGAAATATTTGTAGGTGTATGAATAATTAGGGTAAAGGATGTTTAAATTGATGTTAAATAATTATGATGTTAATTAGCTTTCCCTTCTTTTTTTTTTTCTTCCCATTAATTCCATTCGTGAAAAATACTGCTGTTTATATATACTATATATTATATAGTTGTTCATTTAAAAAAAAAGAATATTGAAGAAATTATCAAAATTTAAAATTTGAAATTAAAATTTAAAATAATTACATAGAGATTGTTGTATAAGGGCAGTTTGAGAATGGTGAAAGGTGGGACAATGTTCACGCGAATTTGGCTGTTCATATTATATAATAGAATACATATATATATATATATATATAGGTAGATAGATTTGGATATCAGTATGTTTTTATTTGATTATCGATATTAATTTGTTTGGTTGTGCTTGCATTTTTTATTTTTTGATTTTCTAGTAACTTATTTGATAAAACTATTTTCAAAAATTGTCTTTGGAAATTCTAATGGTTGTTTTTGAATTTTCGAAAATAAATTTCACATATATTGAAACTATCACGAAAAAATGGTGTTTTCAAACTTTTCATAAGATACGATACGAGTGCCCAAAAAAAAAAAAAAAAACCTTGGTTTAAGGAAATCTTATCCGTAAGTTTCATATATAAAGTTTAAAATTTATCTAGTTTCAAAACAAAATATTTATACCAATTAGTCTTATATATTTTTAATTGTTTCCATGTTTATTTTATTTTATTTTTATAACTTTAAAAACGTTGTTATATTCCACCACTATTAGACTTCTGTTAGGCGGTTATCGGAGACTTTTCGGGAATATTCAACATCATCGGAAAGTTATCGGAGTATTGCCGGAAGTTTGCTAGAGTATCGTCGGAGTGTTTTGAACATCACTGGAAGTCACTAGAATGTCCAAAATGTTCGTTGATCTTGAGACTCATCGGAATGCCCAGAATATTATATTGTTAGAAATAAATAATAATAATAATAATAATAATAATAATAATAATAATAATAATAATAATAAATAGGACAATTATAGTGAAAAACATAACAAAATGTGCTAAATATTGATAAACTGAAAGCAAAAAAAAAATAAAAAGAACATAATAACAACAAATAACAATTGGAAAAAGTATATATTATTTTTCAATTTTTGTAGGGTTTAAACAAATAATCTCCAATATTGATCAAACTGAAAAATAAGCTTTAAAATTGTAAAATATTATAACTTCAAAGTATAATTCTATTAAGTATTTATCCTTATTAATCAAAGTGGAAAACATGTTATAAAATTGTAAAATTTTACAGTTCTAAAGAATGTTATAAAACTGTAAAATTTTACAATTTTAAAGCATGATTTATTTCAACACAAAAAAGACTGAAGTTGTAAAATTTTACAATTTTCATTGCCTGTAACTAAAAACTTAAAAACAACTTGTTCAGAATTTGAAAATTTTCTCTATTAAAATAAGAAAAGAGAAGTGTGTAGTAGAGAAAATGTAGAAAAATTGAGAAATTGAAGGAAATAAACAGATATAGAGAGAATATTGTAATCCGACAACTAGTTTTGGTTTAGATCTAGTCGGATCTCATGTAGATCTACTCAGATTTGATGTAGATCTAAGTAGATCTTTTTATTTTCTTCGCTGGCCTGTAACTAAAAACTTAAAAATAACTTGTTTAGAATTTGAAAATTTTCTCTATTAAAACAGGAAAATATAAGTGTGTAGTAGAGAAAATGTAGAAAAATTGAGAAATTGAAGGAAATAAACAGATATAGAGAGAATATTGTAATCCGATAATTATTTTTGGTTTAGATTTAGTCGGATCTCATGTAAATCTACTCAAACTTGATGTAGATCTAAGTAGATCTTTTTATTTTCTTCGCCTGAAGCTCGTCTCTTTTGTCGTCGGTGAGGGTGAAGTTAGGAGTCAATGATCAATGGTTGCCAGTGAACCCCAAACAATGGTGGTTGTCGGTCGTCAGTGACTATATATCAGAAAGAGAAAGAGAAGAAGTAAGGAATGATCGCCGGTCATCAGAAATCAAGAAGAGAAACATGGAGAGAGAAGGACAAATGCACATAAAGAATGAAGAAGAAAAATAGGTAGTGGACTTTTGAGAGTATTCAAAAGGTTATAGAACTAAATAGATTTATTTTCTTTTAAATAGGACTTCCAAATAATTTGTCCAAACACTTTACATAAAATACAAAACATAAAAAACAATGAAAGTGGGGGAGAAAAATAAAATAAAATTGGCCCACGTCCCACACTAAAGTAATGTCCCAGCTCACACTAACTAGATGTAACGCCCTCAAAATAATACATGAAACCCGTCACTATAGACATGCATTGATATAAAGAAACCAACCATTTATATTCATCAGAGTAATTCTTACAACTGTATTACATGTTCACAATAAAAGCAAATGCCCTATGGGCTTACAGCTTTCCAAGTCAACACCTGGTTACACAAAAGAAGAGTACTAACTCTATACAAAATAAGCCCTAGGCTTGATATACATGTAATACAAACAAAATAAACAAAATCAAGAGTCTTCAACTCTCATCATCATCCAAGCTATGTCCTTGGAGGTGGCATACTACCTGTACTTGAAAATAATGTCCCATAAAGGGTGAGCCCACGCGCAGTAGAGATATGCTAAACACAGTATGAGCAATAACTAAGACGTTAGCAATTGATAAATGTTCAATTTCCATAAACCAATTCATAACCCATTTCCATTTCATGACCACTATGTTCATGTTTCATTTCAGTTTCCATTTCTTATCAATTTCGCAATTTACATCAACGGCTCAGAACCTGGCCAATCATTTATATGAGACAGTGACTCATATGAAACGTTTCCCATTTTACAGTAGATAAGCATACTAGTTGTATCAACATCTCAACAGATAAGCATACAAGCTGTATCCACATTTCAACAGATATGCATAATAGCTATATCAACACTTCCAAAGATAAGCACATGAGCTGTATCAACACTTGCATAGATAAGCATATGAGCTGTATCAACACATTAACTGACAAGCATATGAGCTGTATCAGTGGAGTCCATCCCCTATCTCCTCCCAAACAACATTCGGTTTAGAGGTCCATCTCCTATCTTCCCCTAAACCGTGGAGTACATCCCCTATCTCCTCCCACACGCACAACATATATACACATAGGTCATATACACAATCAATCAATACATAACGTTAATGTATTCTACCAACCGTCATCCTCGATGACATATCCAATTAATTAGTTTTAGTTTGCCTAATCATCATGCATTGTCTACAACAATCAAAACTACCCTCCACCGGTAGCCCAAGCAATTATTCTAAACAGATAATAAAAGCTCCAACAGATAAAATATCAATGTTTTCAAAAGTGAGCGATTAATAAATCTAACTCCACTATTCTACCATATAATGAACCAATTTCATTATTTCTAACTCAATTCCATATAGCCACACTTTTTCCAAATTAATCACACTAATTAATTTATACAACCAATTAGGGTTTTCCTACCCCACTTCCCAATATTGACCCAATGGTCTATATATCAACAACCAACATCAATAACACCATTTTGAAACCCAAAATATATATTTAAGAAACAAAATGATAAAATCCCATTTATACTTTTTGAAACCCTACGTCCCAAAATCAACCATTTAACAAAATGCCCAAAAATCTAGGTCAAAGCCCATAGTAGTGAGTAGGAATCCCTACCTCAAATTCGGAGCCCAAGAGAAGAGAGGACGGAAATGAAGTTGCTCCAAATCACAAGTTTCTCGGATCAAAGTATAGCCCTCGATGATCAACCCAACTTTTACAAAGGCCAAAGGATAGAGAGACACTCTAACTAGATCAAACCCTAGAGAGAATGGAGTTTCTAGAGAGAGGAGCTCTCAAAATGTCTTTTTAGAAAGTAAGAGAGAGAGAGAGAATGTAAAAAGTGATTTTAAAGTGCCCAGCTGCCAACTGATATACGACATTCCCGCTCGAGCGGAAAACACAACGCTCGAGCGTCAAGAACAAAAAACTAGGTACGCTCGAGCACAAGAAGGCCCGCTCGAGCGCTAAGACACAAGAATAAAGTACATCCACTCGAGCCCCAAAACCAGTCCGCTCGAGCGTAGATTTCCCCTTCCCAGAACTCACACAAAAAAGTACTACCTGCTCGAGCGCAACCGCTCGAGCGTAAAGAAACCCGCTCGAGCGTAGAAATCACACCTGCAGAAGTTTTACAGGGACACGAAAAACTGGGAGTGTGCAATCTCTGTTCAAGCGCAACAAGGCCCGCTCGAGCGGAACGACCAAAAACCTGGTAACAAGATTTTAGACCAAGGTTCAACCCACCTGTTTGAAACATGCCCAAGACATCCTAAAACTCAAACAAATGGAATTTAAGGACGACAACAAGATAGATACAACTACCAACTCCACGGAACCGAGTCCGGAATACAACAGAACAGTAAAGGGACAACCGGGATCGCTATAACCTCTCCCCTTTAAAGAATTTCGTCCCCGAAATTAAATGCAAGTTTTTCAAAAATAAGATTTTCTCAATTCCCAACATTATCACAATGCGAATTTTAACAACTCGACCCATTACCGGTTATCTCATCTCTTTTTAAAAGGCATATCACATTATACATAACAACCTGCATTATCAACATGCATTCTTTTGAAATTTACCAATTTCAACTCATTTTCCACAATACATTGAACATACGTAATGTTATAACAAATTTTCATTAACCAAAATATTCACAATGTTTTACAACTTAAGACACATATAATGTTCTTAAAGTTCAACGATATTACAAAATTACCAATACATGGTTACACATCAATAAATAAGTCCGGATATTTCTCGCGGACTTCCAACTCACGTTCCCAAGTGGCTTCCTCCACTCCGTGATGTTTCTACAAAACCTTCACCAAAGGAATGGTCTTGCCACGCAGGACTTGATCCCGCCTATCCAAGACCCGAACCGGTCTCTCCTCATACGAGGCATCCTCATCTACCTCTAAGTCGGTCCAATCTAACACATGGGACGGATCCAGCT